CAAAGAGCTAAATATTACTGGGTTACCCAGCCCCTATTACATGGAACTCATAACATAAATAGTGAAAAGTGGGTGTTACATTGTACAGTACAGTGGTATAATGTGCACCTCTGCCTACCTCTTCGGGGATAAAAGGCGTGATGTTATGTTATGTTATATCTGTATGTATGCCCAAGATGAATTTAAAAAAGTACTGCATGTATTTTACTTCAAATTTTGTATGAATATTACTAACAGGTCGGGTCAACATATAGACTATATAATAATATTATCACGCCGTCACCTATGGCGGAGGAGCTGTAAATCACTATTCCATACCGACGAAGTCGCGGGCTCAGCTAGTAGAAAATATATTTATTAATTACCTTTCTATAAATAAGTGATCCGCAAGCGACGCGCACTTTCATAGCCATATCCAGTAGCCACAGCAACATGGGGTGCACTAAACTAGCGCTCAGTGCCATTAGACTGAAACATAACAAAGTCAACGTCAAAATCATTTATTTCATAAGTTTTTAAATATCAATCTCAATAATATAGGAACTCAACTAAAAACTACCACAAAGTTAAGTTCGACGGTCCAATAATTTTGCCGTCACCACTCGACACTGGCAGTATAGTCGACAACACCATTGTGGAGACTCGGTTGCCAAAGAAGAAAAAAAAAATCTAAGTGATTAATATTGTAATAGATTTAAGTTTCTTTTCTGTATCCTAGAATGTAAGTATTTTGGCTCTCGCTATAAACTTTCATGTAAATGTAAATAAATAAATTTCAAATAGACCAGAAAGGCACATTTGAACATCAACAAAGAAGTGAAGCTTGTGAATTTGCTCATTCCAAGGTGTAGATGCCTATGGAGAAGAACGAGCAAGAAACTCAGTAACATTACTATTACAACGACTCTTCAATTTCACAAAAATTATGGCCATTGGTCAGTAGCAGAGGCGAAATAAACCTGGAGAGCGCCCTCGGCAAGTACCTCTTAGGCGCCCTTAATTTCTTCTGGCGCCTCGGTCACTCTATGCGCAGTTGGGCACGTGCGTCTCACAGCGCCCTTCTGTAACCTAGCGCCTGGTGCTTAACAATTTTCTTAAATCGCATCAAAATCGGTTCAGCCAATCACTAGATAATCGCGCACAGACATACATAGATACAGATCAAACTATAATAAGTAACTAAACTATAACGCGAAAATATTGTTGAATTGCCCAAAAAATACCTACTACAGATACCCATAAAAATACAATTAAAAACTACCCGTTTCCAGGGTATCAAAATTAAAAATCTAATTAGTCCGTAAGTTAGATAATGAAAAAATATTAGACGCGTATTTTTTTTATTTTCTCGTATTAAGTTGCGATGCTTAGATAAAATGGCGCTAAGTTTAGGAGTGGGAGGTCGATAAGTCATAACGTACTACATTTTGTAGCACGCTGTGACGTCACACGATATTTCAAATTAATATATATCGTCGAAATTATTTAATTTTGTGAGAAAATAAAAAATACGTGACTAAAGTTTTATATTAATTTACCAGACGGACTTTAAAATAAAATTTACGAAACTACCCTATTGGGTACTTTCCTCAATCAAAAATAGTTTATATTATTTCGACTGTGCAATACAATAAAATATTAATAAATAATCACACTTTCATTAATTAATTTTATGACCAACTTCATTTTAGTATTTTTCCAGCAAATTTTAAGAAATAATTATGTTGTTTGACGCTAAAAAACGTGACGTCACAATACACAATCTCGTACAAAATTCATAGTAAACTGTCGTTTTTGACAGTTCGAAAAAGTATTGAATTTGACTAGTTGGCAAGTATTATTTTAGCCATTTACAGTGTTCAATGTAATATAAATAATTTAAACTTGAAGTATTAATAGTACTAATATGTGCTCTATCGTAGTCTACGATTCGTAGACCGCATCATCGCTTACCATCAGGCGAGATAGTGAACGAACGTCGGCCTATCAAATCTTTATATATATAATTTTTCTGTGAGTGTATATGTCGCTGAACTTCTCTCAAACGACTGAACCGATTTTGATGAAATTTTTTGTGTGTGTTCAAGGGGATCTGGGAATGGTTTAGATTCACAAATCGGCCTGGCAGATGGCGCTGCAGACGATGTTTAGGTTATTTATCCTAAACAGCTCAACTAATTTGAATGAATTTTTCTTTATACATTCAAGTGGATATGCAGGACAACGTCTGTTGGGTCCGCTAGTATTATATAAAAAAACACACCAATAATTTTAAGACTATCCGAGAATCAAACTACGTACCAAACAATAAATGGCTATAAACAAATAAATATGTGTAGAACTTACCCGACTACGCCGACAGCGTACAGATACGCCTCGTTAGCTTTCACACCAGCGTGGGACGGAGAGAAGTAATTGATTAGACCTTCTAAGCACATTGGTATTGATAATCTGTGGAAAAACACAAATACATAGATAATTAATAACTTTAAAAAAATAACCAATCATGTGTCGTGTCGTGGTGGCCCGGAGGTTTAAGATGGCCGCTTCTCATGCACACCATATACTATTATATGTCGCGGAGAACCTAACGGGTAACCGGGGCTCCGGCTCGACGTGCAGGAGAAGGAACGGGGTGGTTTTTAGTCAGTAAGAGTCTGACACTCCCTTCCGCCTCACCCAGGCGGGAGAAGTCATTCGATGATTTTCCCCCTTAAAAAAAAAATACTATTATATATAGCGGAAGAGTTTGTTTGAACGCGCTAATCTCCGTAACTACAAGTCTGATTTGAATAACTCTTTTTTTGTTGGATAGCGCATTTATCGAGGATGGCTATAGACTATCTATCTTCAACCCACATTGAGCAAGCGTGGTGATTAATGCTCAAACCTTCTCAAATAGGCTCCCTCCTATTACATGGGACTCATAACATATATGGTTAAAAGTGGGTGTTACATTGTACAGTGGCATTAAGTGCAGTAATGTGCACCTTTGCCTACCCCTTCGGGGATAAAAAGCGTGATGTTATGTTATGTCTATTGCCATATACCGGGTACAATTCCAAACTCAATGCTGACATTTTGACTGACATTTTTAAAACCCCAGCAATACTTTGCCCGACCCGGGAATCGAACCGGAAACACCTTCCCCGGCAGTCGCACTTGCGAACACTCGGCCAACGAGGCTTTGTGAACTCCTTTCTAAAAACCCTGCGAAGCACTTCTAACGCCTCTGGTGTTTCGGGTGTCCATGGGCGGCGCTGATCACTCACTATCAAGTGATCCGTGCTCTCATTTGTCTCTCATTATATACTAGTGATGTAACGAATATTCGCATTCGCATTCGCATTCGCGAATATTCGCATTTTTTTACATATTCGCATTCGCATTCGCATTCGCAAAATGTTTTGCGAATATGTACTTCTTAGAAAAAAACTATTTTTAAAATAATGGTAGGCTAAAAAAATCAAAATCCATTCGTTTATAACCTTTTTATTGCAAGTAAACCTCTTAATCACATTGTCAGTCTTTACTTTATCATTTGGTATTATTTATTTACTTTGGGCAATGAAACTTTAGATATAGGTAGTTAATATAATAGTTTCATAAAAAATAAACATAAATAAACTCTTTAAAGAAACAAAAACTAAACTAGAAACAAAATTAGAAACTTTTATCCAACTTAACATATTTTTTACGTTTAGATAATCATCATCTGTAATAAACAAAATAATGTAATACTTATTGAAACAAAAACTAATTATTCTTCCACAATAAACTTTAAATATACTCTAAATAATTCAAACTAATAAACCATACAAATGGCGCTAAATTTGAACACAAACTGAATATTCGCATCCGCATTCGCATTCGCGAATGTCGATATCAGATATTCGCATTCGCATTCGCATTCGCGAATGTTCAAAAACACACATTCGTTACATCACTATTATATACAACGTAATTAACGCACACCCTCAAACACCCCAATTAGAATATTATATTATAATCATAATACATACACTAAATTTTTAATTTAACATGTATATGCATCCTTACCGGTCTTGTCATAAGGTTTACTTTTCTTTATTTTGTATTGAATGATAGAATTTGTATGAATACAAATAAAACTGCGATTTTAAATGTATTATTGCTTTGACTTACGGTCCATTTCGATTTGTTTTAACAATACAGGGTTAATATGACAATAATTTCCGTAGTTTTAATTATTTTTGGGATAAAAGATTACCTATACTAAAAATTATATAAATCGATTCAGTTAACGATTCTGAACAAGCTACTTTCAGGATGTGCGGTATTTAAGTTACATGTAGTATAAAAAAAGTATTGGAACTTATGACGTACCTAATAGATGCATCTAGTATGGCGTATATAATATTTCCTATGATGAATTTGGTCCCGTGAGTGCGAATTATGGCACGCAACAGGGACGGTTGCTTGCCTTTCTCTGCAAAATAAACAAAAATATTATAAACAATCATAATGATCACTATAACTTTGATGGGTAATGACGGCAGGATAGAACACATTTGTCACCACCGCTACTCTTCCCGCGGGTGTCGTATACCCGACTGAGGGACTACACATTTGACAGAGACAGGGCAGCAGCGATCTCTAAAAAACCTTAACTTTTGATGTTTGTGATATTAAAATAACCGCTTCTTGCAACATGCATATAAATTTATATATTCACCCGCGGCTTCGCTCGCGTCATAAAAGGATAAAAAGTAGCCTATGTGACATATACCAATACACACAGCGGCATCTATACCAATACTTTTGTTTTCGGTCGGGAATATCAAATTTTTCCGGGATAAAAAGTACCTACCCTATGTTTTGAAGTCTGGATTGACTTCTAACTTTACGTCTGCAAAAATTCAAAGCAATCGGTTTTACTAAACCGATTGAACGAAGCCGTAACTACTGTTACGGCGTGAAAGCGGAACAAACACTGACTGCACGGTTGGCGCGGTGGCTGGGCAACTGGCTGCCGCGCAACGTGTCGCGGGTTCGATTCCCGCACGGAACAACTATTTGTGTGATCCACAGATTGTTGTTCCGGGTCTGGGTGTCATGTGTATGTGATATTGTATGTTTGTAAACGCACCCACGACACAGGAGAAAATCCTAGTGTGGGGCAACGTTAAAAAAAAAAAAAAAACTCACTTTCCGATTTATAATATTAGTAAGGATACACATACCAAAATAACATTTATTTACAATTTTGTCTGTCTGTCTGTTTGTACTGACTAATCTCTGGAATGGCTGGACCAATTTTGCAAGACCTGTATAGCTGATGTACTAAGTAGTAACATAGGCTACTTTTATTTTGGAAAATTGAAACAAATAAACAAGTTATGTTCTAAAATTCATATCCTATGCGGCCAAAGTCGCGGGTAACAGCTGGTAGTTTTACAAACATTACCATACCTTTTTTCTGCAACTGTTTCCTCCATTGTACGCCCATAGTGTCGCCGCGCGGCGCCGCCTTGTGACCCGGTGTACATCTGAAAAATAGAATAAAATCTATTACAAACTAGCTATTGCCCGCGACTCTTCTCTTCGTCATCATCATGACAACTAGACATTATATATTTATCGTGTGGGGGAGCCATGCTTCGGCACGAATGGGCCGGCTCGACCGGAGTGATACCACGGCCGAGCAGAAAACCATAGTGAAACAACGCTTGGGTTGTGTTTCGTAGTGTGAGTGAAGTTACCGGAGGCCCAACTATCCCCTCCCCAATCCCTGAATCCCCAACAATTATCAAATTCCTAATCCCTAAAAGGCCGGTAACGCACTTGTACCACCTCTGGTGTTTCGAGTGTCCATGGGCGACGCCGACTGCTTACCATCAGTTGATCCGTCCACACGTTTACCGGCTTATTCCATAAAAAAAAATTCACAGGAACTATTAATGAAGGACAGTTTAACTAAAATAGCGGTTTCCTCACGTGAATATCCTGAGAAGAGCTCTACTACCTCTAGTTTCGAACCACAAAGGAGTGTCACGTGAGTAACCCGCGATTTTAGTTAATTTAGTATGTCTCACGACAGTTATTATAAAAAACGAAGAACTGTGTTGGATCTGACAACGAAGTTAATTTATTGGAAACATAAGCTTATCTCCAACCCGGCTGCCAAGCGAGGAGTTTGTGGCCAACCATGTCGAGTAGATGATGCTCATAGTTCAGCAGTAAACTGTGATGATACGTCTTTTTTTTTGCCTTTAGGCCAAATTCATTCTGCCCCCTGCAGTAATTCACCGAGGGAAGTGGAAACTATCGTTGTTTTTTCTTCTCCTCTTATAATATCTTCTGATTTACTTCGTTGCAAGGAAGCGAGTCAAGCGAGGAGTTTGTGGCCACCATGTAGTGTAGATGAGGACCATTGTTCAACAGTGGACTGTGATGATAAGTCTATGAATATCAGTATCTATCAAGTATATGATACTTACCTATAAACATCTGATATGCTCAGCTGACCTTTCCTGCCTTTCGCGAAAATCGGCCTTGTGTACCTGTGAATAAAGGACATATTTGATTAACATCATCATTAGTCAGATTGCTGAACAACTCTTCTCGTTTTGATATCTAGATTATTCCAGAATTACTAAAGCAAAGTGTCTTTTTTAAAGAGGGGAAAAAAATCGAATGACTGCTCCCGCCTAAGCAAATTACACACCGGTTGACCGCCTAGGCGGTTTGTGTCGATAGACGCGGTTACCATAGCAGTTGCATATTAAATTTGAAAAGCGGTCGACCGCAGAGAGCGGCTAGCCGCGCGGTTGACCGCTAGTGCGTAAGGGGCTAAGTGAGGCAGGAGGGAGTGTCAAACTCTTACTGACTAAAAACCACACCGTTCCTACTCCTGCTCTTCGAGCCGGAGCCCCGGCAACCCGTTAGGCCTTCCGCGGCTCCGTATCGGGTATCAGCCCTACTGGGCCCCATCTGTGGTGATTTGATGGCTCTTTGAGGCGCGCGCGGAACGTGGCGCGCCGTACGCACGGGTCTGCTTCTGGTCGAGCATCGAGCTACTCTTGCTCACCGTCCGCAGACCCGCACTTACGGTGGCCGGAGATCGATACGCGATCTCCGACGCCCAGAGTGTCCTCCGCGACGGCTGGGGCGTGGCGTGAGGAGCTTTGTTCCCTCACGCGTAACGCCTTCTCTTTAGCTAGCATTTCAAGCCATGCTAGAGGCTCATATTTGTGATTCAGCGACACACGACTGTCTGCGCTGTTCTAGTCAAGTCCCTCGTCAAACAGTTACAGAACTATGCCGAAAACATAATAATGAATTAAAAAAAATATATTCCTCAAATACTCACCAGAAACAAAACTTCGACAGAAAACTAGCAGTCTCCCTCGGGTTCTGCTTCCTCTCAATATCAAAATATCCAGGATCCATGTTTGATTAGCTTATATATTAATTTAATTTCTATATTTGGCACTTATTGTGACTGTATATCACAGTTATCTAAACATATAGTTAAGTACTTAACCATTTAGGAATTGTTTTGCCTTTTAGGATATCTGTAACAAAAGAAATAAATATATTTTAGTAAGATGTAGGGAGACATAATAAAGTAGGTAATAGTTAGAAGATGCTCGACTAATTTCGAGCCACAACCGGGACTCATAATCATAAGCAGCGTGCGCAACATCATCAGTCGAGACTACTTCAACCGTTTAAGTTAATGAGCCATATTTTAAGTGAACATAATAATTTCTTATGTATTTTAACGTTATAATTCCTCGTCGCGACTTTTTATAAAACCCTCAAAAAGTACTGAACAAACATTTAAGCTATTGTGACCCGGACCCGATCCGTTATCCAACTCTCAACTAAAAATTACTTAGCGTGATGTAGCACCTAAACTAACCCCTAACTTGTACTGTTAAGTGTCACTTATAGGTTGGTAAAAACTATTTTTACCAATTTTTTTTTAAAAAAAACGTTGCCCCACACTAGGATTTTCTCCTGTGTCGTGGGTGCGTTTACAAACATACAATTCCACATAGACACACACCCAGACCCGAAACAACAATTTGTGGATCACACAAAGTGTTGTTCCGTGCGGGAATCGAATCCGCGACACGTTGCACGGCAGCCGGTTGCCCAGCCACCGCACCAACCGTGCAGTCGGTAAATGTCACCTATCTTAGCCTAGGTGCCTTAAAATTCAAGAGAGGTTTGAGAAAACGGGTATTAGTTACCTAAAGGCAAGGATATATACTAGGGGACAAATAATTCTCCGGCCTAATTCGCCTGCGGACGGCGAGCATGGGTGGCTCGCCGCCCGACCAGGGTGCTTGCTCTTGAAACCAATCTCAATGTCAATGCAATTTCAATCCAATAAAATCTCAATAATTATCCAATGTCAAAACTATACAACCACAATCGTAGCTGTTAAAGTAGCATTCAGAGCACGGAATTCATTTAGTTAATGAAACTCAAATTCATTTAGTTAATGAAATATCCACGTAATACGGATGCAATGGGCGCTAGTGTTGCAACTGAAGAGTACGAAATTTCACAATGTCAATGTCGATCGATCGGAATTGGGTTCAAGAGTAAGCCCCCAGAACCAGACCCGAGCGTACGACGCCGAGCGTTCCGCGCGCGCCTCAAAGGGCCATCAGACCACCACGGATGGGGCCCAATTAGGGCTGATGCCGATTCGGAGTCGCAGAGAACCTAACGGGTTACCAGGGCTCCGGTTCGAAGTGCTAGGAACGGGGTGGTTTTTAGTCAGTAAGAGTCTGACACTCCCTCCCGCCTCACCCAGACGGGAGAAGTCATTAGATGATTTTCCCCCTAAAAAAAAGGGCACAAATAATCTCCTGCGATATGTATCGTCAGCAACGTTGGGTGAAGTAGTGCGACGTTGCCGGACTTTGGTCGAAATGTCTGGCAACACCAATATCGCAGTGGACACAAGTCGCACGTTGTCGCCGTATGTATACGTCAGGTGAAATCAGCCGGCGTCGTTTGACATGTCACCGATTTATGTCGTGCGACAGTTGTCTTATAGTGTATCCTTAGCTTTATACTAATTATGTTTTTATAATACCTATCGTGAGTCGTGAGACATACTAAATCAACTAAAACCGCGGGTTACTCACGTGAATATACTGAGAAAAGCTCTATTAATTTCGAACCACAGAGGAGTTCTTCCTCATGAGCAACGTGCGCGGTCGCGGCGACGACGTCGCGCAGCTCACTGTCGAAACTAGTAGAGTTTTTCTCAGTATATTCACGTGAGTTACCCGCAATTTTAGTTAATTTATACTAATTATGTTGAAGTTTTGTTTCAGAGAACAAGATTCAAACTAACCATCTCATTTGTCCAATCCACATATTGACCTGCACTAATAAAAAATCAACCAAGTGCTTTTACAAACAGAATCTAAATTACTTTGACGAGAAAAAGGTTATTTGTAAAGGTGACCCGACCTATACAAGTAGGTCATATTTTGCACGCAACGGCGTAGATTGACATTATTTGACATTAGGGCACGGAGTATGAAACTTACAAAGACTTAGGTACAGCTTGGCAAAAAAAGAATTGGGCACTTTCCTTAATCAATCACTTCCCTTAATCTCTTTCAATTGTTTTGTAAAATATTAAATGGCAATACGCCATAGAGGATATAAAGTGATATTGCAGGTTTTGTTATAAATAAGCCTCTACTCTGTTATAAAGTTCAGTCTCTGAGTACTACATAATCATTGGTGTCTGGCGACGCAAGTCTGGCTTTTATTGGGGCAGACCCAATTTCGGGGGCAAAACTCACCGTCGAACTAGGAAAGGCGGGACGCTAATGTTTTTCTTTATAGATCACCTATTTTTTTATTTCTAGTACCTTTTTTGATAATGTGGAGAACCTTCAAAACGCGCCAAGCTTTTTTGGGGAGATATTTAATGAACTAAATGGTATTGAGTTTGATTTTATATTCCGTACTCTGAATGCTATTTTAAGAGCTACGATAGGGGTTGTATCACGGAATATAGAATACAATGTATTTGTATTCTATATTCCGTGGGTTGTATAATGTTGACACTGTACAACCCCTATCGTAGCTGTTAAAACCCCTATCGTAGGTCACAAATACATACAAAGCACTAGGAGAAAGACTAGGGAGTGTGGGATTTATACCTCACTAAAACCGTGGCCACCCTCAGCACCTGTAGGGGACACTGGGTCCTCTAACAGATCTGGGGGCTTAACTCGTCGAGTACCGGTTTTGTAGACACAATTATAGAACAATAGGTTGCGGTCACCGGTGACCGCTTGGTGTTTGACAGTTTAATTTTGAGTTCAGCTTTATATTCCGTAGGTACTCTGAATGCTATTGTAACAGCTACGATTGTGGTTTTATAGTTTTGACATTGAATAATTACTGCAATGTAATTGAATTGAAATTGCATTGACATTGAGATTGGTTTCAAGATTAAGTCCCTAGGGCTGAGACTCTTTAGGGGTACTGGAGCTCCAGCTGTATATAGGAGAATGAACGGGGTGGTGTTTAGGCAGTAAGAGTCTGATACTCTCTCTCGCCTCACTCAGAGCGAGATGCGAAATTTGATGACCCCCCACCGCCTCCCAATAAACGGTGCATCAGAGAGCACAAAGTAAATACATTCCATTCCCAGGTCGAACAATACATCACAAGTTATTACTTAAAAAGTTATTTTTGTCATTAACATTCTAGAAACACAACCAATACAGTAATATCGGCAATGGAGTATCATTTTATTTACAATGAAAAACACGTAACTATCTACTTATTTATTTTACTGGGTATTGTACAATTGTGTTCATACATACATACAATATTGGAATTCTACTTAAACCATTAATATGAAATACACGCCAAGTTTAATAAAAAAAACATTTCGAAATAAATTACCTACTTACTTAAAAATCATACACGTAGGTATTATAACCAATGTAAATATAACATCACGCCTTTTATCCCCGAAGGGGTAGGCAGAGGTGCATATTTACGGCACTAAATGACACTGCACAATGTAACACCCAGTTTTCATTTTCACTATTTACTTATGTTATGAGTCCCATGTAATAAATACTATTACATGTAATACTATTGCCCCACACTAGGATTTTCTCCTGTGTCGTGGGTGCGTTTACAAACATATAAGTTCACATACACATGACACCCAGACCCGGAACAACAATTTGTGGATCACACAAAGAGTTGTTCCGTGCGGGAATCGAACCCGCTACACGTTGCGCGGCAGCCAGTTGCCCAGCCACCGCGCCAACAGTGCCGTCGAACGTTACTATATTAAAAGAATACTTTTTAACGGTCTCATGAAAAGTATGAAAACTCCTGACATACAATTTCGCATCTCAATCGATCACCGTTTCATTTACCACGAACTTGGTTGCCACAGCCGTGCACCCGCATTGTCGCCTCGTGGGAAGGCACTAACTCACCTACTCAAGTTACACAATGAGATATCAAACACGATTCCCACAAGCACATAGATACGTAATTTACCCAAACATTGCAGTAATTTTCCCAAGATGTTATGTTTTTACTTGAACGGTAAATTTTTCTCCATTTTCATTTCATATTTTATAATAATGATGACGTGTGAAATAAACGTACACGCCGCCTTATGGGAAGCCGACATGTTATCTTCTTCTATACATATTTCTTCTATATTCTTCTTACATGATTGAAAATAAATCGTTCGAGCGAGAATCTTACCTTGCCGTAACACAGTCTTTGACTAGCACGGGAGGTAAAGTAAAAAATCTACGTATACCGTCTGTAGACATTTATTACACTTTTGGTATCAAACTTATTGTCTTGTGAATTACTGAGTTAAATTACTTTTGTTTGCAAGGTGTATTATATGATTGCTGTATATTATTGATACTACAGAAATAACACTGCTTATGTTAACTTGTATGTATGCATTATAAACTAGTATTTTTTGGTCTACCTTGCAATTGTGATTGTGATTTCTATGTATTCATTATCGCTTTCTGTTAAATAATAGGTATACTTGTCCTTTGTTTTGCTAATTAAATTATTCTTATTCTTATTCTTATTCTTATTCTTATTCTTATTCTTATTCTTATTCTTATTCTTATTCTTATTCTTATTCTTATTCTTATTCTTATATAATTAAATCGTAAGAAAAGTCAAAACTGTACATTTAATATCACTACATTGTATAAAACAAAGTCGCTATCCGCCGTCTGTCTGTCCCTATGTACGCTTAGATATTTAAAACTACGCAACGGATTTTGATACGGTTTTTTTTTTAAATAGAGTGATTCTTAGGGAAGTTTTATATGTATAATACATGCATATTGCACACGTGCGAAGCCGGGGCGGGTCGCTAGTTTTTTATAAAGAAAACTTAAGGCCTGAGGGCCAAGCACGAATAACTATCGCATTCGTATCGTAACAGCATCGAGCGAGTTAAGCGTCGATACCGAAGCCAAAAATATGGTTTTTAGATTTTTTGTCTGTTTGTCTGTATGTATGT